GGCGTCGCGGCACTCACCTGAGGCACAGACCGACATGGATGGACGCAGTGAGTGCAGTCGGTGGACAGACAGATCGGTGGCTCATTTGCGTGAAGAGACGTCCTGCTTACAGGCAGGTTGACGACACGAGAAGAACTCGTCAGGGGGCCGCCAGCAGCGGGTGCAGACACGGCTGCACTGCCGACAGGCGCCTGCGCATAACAAAAAGGGAGAGACCATCTGGGCTGGTGCCTGCCTGCGTCGGTGGCTGCTTGTGTACCTGCTGTTGGTTGTCCTGATGTGTCAAGTGCTGAAGTCGATTGCGCAACACAGACATCTGTGCCTCTGCACACACACACACACAGACGGAAACGCTATGCAGCTGCAGAGACCGTGAGAAAGCTGACTGACGTTGCGACTCCTCCCCGGAGGTAGGGCGGTTCATCAGGTCGAGAATACGTAGACACAGAAGACGCCGCCCCCCCGTCTCGCTTATCTCTCCTTCCTGTTCCTGCTGCGATGCCATCCGCACTCCTCTCGTCCCCAGATTGCCCCCGGCTCCCTCAGGTACTCCTGCCGGCGGCGACGCTGCTGCCGCTGCCGCTGCCGCTGCTGATGACGCTGCCGCCGCCGATGACAATGTAGGTGCTCCCTCGCGCAGAGAGGGGGGCGGGTCGATGGACAGAGGGGGCGGCGTGGGGGGGAGGTGGTGGAGATCTGATGCCTGCATGAACGTGAGAGCAAACAGGGCACCCACATGGATCTATGTGTATTGTGTGTGAGTGTCTGGCTGCCCAATCAGTGTGCCCATGGAGACAGACGTACCTGACGATCTCCAGTAGCTGTCCCTCCCTCTGTCTCTGGCTGCGGCTGCTGCTCCACCTCGGCAAGCCCTGGTGTCGTCTGGTCGACCGCCGGTTCAGGGCGGTGCGGCGACGTCAGCACTAAGGGCGGGCCGGCCGATGCACTGCCAAACCCAAACGGCACGGCAGCAGGGTGAGGGAGTGCAATGAGGTGGGGCGGGGCAGCGGGGGGCGATGGCTGGGCGGCAAACAGAGGCGGGTGGGGGGGTAAGATGGAAGGGGGCTGTGGGTAGAAGTGGCTGGCTATGTTGGGCATCAGGTAGTTGTGTGCCGGGCCGAACGTCGCGGCACTCACCTGAGGCACAGACCGACATGGATGGACGCAGTGAGTGCAGTCAGTGGACAGACAGATCGGTGGCTCATTTGTGTGAAGAGACAGACGTCTTCCTTACAGGCAGGTTGACGACACGAGAAGAGCTCTCTAAGAGGCCGCCAGCAGCGGGTGCAGACACGCGTGCACTGCCGACAGGCGCCTGTGCAGCCTGCGCATAAACATAGAGGGAGAGACCATCTGGGCTGGTACCTGCCTGTGTCGGTCGCTGCTGATGTACCTGGTGGTGGTGGTGGTGGTCCTCATGTGTCATCTGCTGCAGTCGATCGCGCAACACAGCCAGCTGTGCCTCTGCACACACATACTCAGAGGGATACGCTGTCCGTCCATAGAGACCGTGGGGAAGTTGACTTACGGTGCGACTCCTCTCCGGAGGTAAAGCGGCCCGAGGCAGCTGAGATGTTCTTCAGGTCTTGAAGATGTAGATACTGTACATACTGATACTGCAGCTCGTCCTCCGTCGACGTCTCGCTTGTCCCTCCTCCCGGCTGCTGCTGCTGCGATGTGGTCTGGACTGCTGTCGTCCGCACGTCGCCCCCGGCTCCCTCAGGTGCTACTGCTTGCAGCGATGCTACGGCCGGTGCTGCTGCTGCCGCCGATGACAATGTAGGTGCCTCAGCTGCGCCACCCTCACCTGCCCAAGGCACACACACACACACACACACACACATGACTGTGACGCAGGTCGACGTGGGGGGCTCTGTGGTGTGTGCGGCTGTATACCTCCGCCGCCCTCATCACCAGCACCATCGTCCGAGTCTGTGCACACAGAGAGAGACAGAGAGAGAGAGAGAGAGAGAGAAGGCACATCTTCCATCCACTCGATGAATGGTTGAATCTGTCCCTCTTTCGTCCGTACCATTGTCATCCCTCTGTTGCTGTTGCTGCTGTTGCTGTTGCTGCTGCTGTACTTGTCCGTCGAATACGAATGGCGCCACCGCCCCAAACGCCACGCGAGCCAACTGAGTGCTGACGGGGAAGCGGTGCTTGAAGGCACCACGCTCACACACAGCCAACTCAGTCGTCATGACAAAGACCCACACTGCAGTCAAGGGGAAGGAAGAACGCTCATGACATTTGACCATCAATCAGCACTCCTTCTCTGCCATTCTGACCGGTGTTGCCTTGATGACCCCAGACGGTGGGGCCTTCATCCCAGATGCGAATCCATGCGACGAAGGGGTGACTGCCGTCAGTGAGCACCAGACATCGGATGCCACCAAACCCGTCCCAGCTCAGTCTGGTCGTGCAGCCGGCCACTGGTGTGTGGGGCGACTGGGTCAGCAGGCGATCCAAACGGCCGCCTCCCACACCCCTGAACAGACAGACACCACCAAATGATTTGTGGGGTTCCTTCCCGACCCCATTGATTCCGTTGGCGTGTTACCTGTTGAGCGGAGTCCTTGTGACATTGATCCGGTGAGTATTGCTGAAGTGGTTGACGATCTTGGCCTTGGCGAACGATGAAACAGACGCATCGATGCGCTGTTCACCGAATAACACCAGTCGGACGATGTCGGTCGATTGAAAGATGTTGCGGTCTCTGGCCACCGGTGGGTCGTGTGGTTGTCGGTGCTGCTGGTACAGATGGCCGGCAGGGAGGGGCGGATCGACATTCAGCTCGAAGCCGGGCTTATCGACAATGGCCCGCACCTGACCGTTGCCATGGTGGAACACCTGCAGGCAGGTGCCGTCACTGAAGCGGACGTGGCGGCCGATGATCTTGAGCTGCGCCAACACACGAGGAGCCGACACATACGCCTACACACACGAGAACACACACAGACACCACACAGAGAGAATGAGGTCGTCTCCCTCCCCCGCCCTCCCCGCCCCT